CGCTCCGACTCCTGGTGCCAAGGTTCACTTTCGTTGGCGAATAGCCCAAAGTGGAAAGGTAGGTATCGACATGAGTTCCGATATGGTTGATGCTCTTTGCGGTTCCATGCCCGTGTCGTTGCGTTCACAAACCTCCTCAGACTGATGAACTGCATCGTATTTCTTGAGATGCATTCTTGATGTGGTGTAAACATGTCCTTCGCAAATGCTGCCCTTGCTGCGTCCTTGATGGTCGTGACCATGCTATGGTATTGAGTGTTGACGTCCTCCTTCCAGTCTCCTGGCTTGGCATCCTGTATCTCTTTTTGGAACTTGCTCAGCAACTCGGGATCCTCATCTTCTCGCGTGAAATGGCCAACTTGGAAGGGCCTCCTCTCGGACATGCAACATGGTGGTACTGAAATCGGGCCGAGGCCGGCCGATGATCGTCACACGATAATCCATTGTCAAGGTTGTCGTTAACCTTCATGTCCATTGCATTTTCATACCGTGTTGTATCCAGGCATACAAAATCTGTTCTACGCTTTACTTCACCATCCGTATGTCCAGCCCGTCTTTTCGCCAACAATTGTATTATATATCCGTGAACGGTGATGCACACAAAATTCTGCAAGCATCTTCCCGTTCTCGTCGAGCTTGCTCCAAGGCGGCCGATCCCCAATGTATGGAGGCTCCATCACTATTGCGTCCAGCCTGGCATTCGCGTCGATGAGCACCATATCCGCAGGATACTTGTCGAGGAGTCTTACGGTATCTTGCCACCATGTCTTTCTTTCTTCGTCTGGGCGTCCTCGCTGTGGTGCGTGTGCAACAAGGATGCACATCGATGCATGTGGGGCATTCACCCGCATCAGCCACCTCGTAGGATTTTTGTAAATGACTCGCAAGTGACGTTCAGTTATGTAGCAGTTTCTCTTCCCACTAACATACGGAATCGTAGTCGCCACCATCAGGGCACATCCATGTCCTCCAGCATCAGCTCCTGCTCGGGGTGTAAGATATCCATCGGCCCCTTGCTGCCCTTCACGCCCTCGTGCTCCTTGAATACCCACGGAAGGAAGTGCATCGTATATAAATTGCGTTCTCAATCGTTGGACCCTTCTCTTTTTCTTTTCCCTCTGATGTCTGTTCAAGTTTCTTGATTTGGCTTCCGTGAGTGGCATTGCATTATATGCCGCCGCCTTGAATCGCACTTGGGTCTGAGCTTTTTTACTCGACCCTCTGCGTACATCTCCTCCTTCATGTCAATCAAGCTGTCGCATACCCCCATTGAATATTCTCCGCTCACCTGGTGATTGAATTTGTAGATGTCCATTTGAGATAGCAGGGTCTGCGTTGGCTTCCTCCTATGAAATTCGTAGCCATGCCCACTGAACGCCGCTACAAAATAATACCGTGGGGGCATCCGAATATGTATTTCAGGGTAGTTTTGACGATGTTGTCAGCTAGATGGTTCCAAGGATCAGAGTCATGAGATTTGGTATGATGAAATCGTATATCGTGTAACTGTTGTGCTCCCCCATTACAAGGGCGACCAAGTATGCTGCTAACTTCTCACTTTGGGCGTATCCATGTCGTCTGGCAATCACCTCCATGATTACCTTCGAATCCGTTGTGATATTCCAAATGATCAGATGGTTCTGCCCTTCTTGAATAACATAGTGTAGTGCCCAGACCATCGCTATCATTTCCGACACCGTATTGTCCATGTGGTCTCCGTCGTGAACAATCTCTGAACTACCAAGTGTCCGTGATGTAAGGTAGCCTTGTATTGCATGTCCGTTCCTTTTGGTAGCTGATTGCCACAGCCCACCCGTCAAGGGTGGAGTCAGCGTGCTTGTGGGAACCATCTGTCCAAATGTGTCCGTACGTAGGATCATATTCCCGTTTGGGTGCCATCACCAACGGTCGTTTCGCGAAGTCGCTTAACTCGATGTGTTCGAAGTCGTCGCAGAGCTGGATGGGATGGTCCCATTCACGCATGCAGTCTGTAAAAGACCGCGGAATATTTGCCTCGCATTGTTTCGTGTGTCCGATAAGTTCTGCAAGTGCAAGTACTGGTCGGCGTAACTCTCGTTGTCCTATCTCGAACTCTTCTTCCAGGCCTGGTGGGGGAGGAATTGAGTGTGGAGTCCTAGTACTAGAGGGCGTAGAGGTCGAAAGGTGAGGATCACCACCCATGGATAGGGCGTGTTCCGTCAAATCCGCCGTGGATACCCGACAGCATTGTCGACCATCTGTTCCCAGAAACAATCCGCCTCCATCTTGATGTCCTGGTTGACTGTACTCTCCAGACTGATTGGATGTCAGCGCTCCTACACCCACCTGATGTGGATATGGTGGCAAAAGGATGATGTGGGCATCGCCAGCTGGATTCGTTGTGCCCCCATGTTTGTCGCCATCGTTGATCTCCCGTAATCTGATGACTGTGATGACAAAATGTCGTGAATTCCATGCTCTCCATCTTTCCCATGAAGTAATCTACGTGTGACCCTCGTTGAGATGTGTCTCCTCCCTCCCTCGTGGCGGTCAGCCTTCGAACGAGGAGGGAGCCAACTCACTTTTTCCCCTCTGTCCCTCCAGGTGGGACTGAGTACTTGGACGGGCAGGAAGTCGGAGTCGGTCCCCTGTGTAATCGAAACCGTCTCTTCCCACTCGTTCCCCCATCCTGACCGTGGCTGGAGGAGTGCGTCCCTCCGTTCCTGAGCTGGATGGATTCCCATCGATGATGTCACCGTTCTCCTCGCGTATCCCTCGTGGGGTGGACATCTGGTATACTTTCGGCTCTATGGACGGCATCGGGATCGTCGGGGACAATTCTTGTGGGTCCTGATCAGGATGCGGAGGGTACCCGGAGGGTACCCGGCTGAATGAATTGACGCAACACCAAATGTTCTCATCGTTTTTCCTCCTCCAGGTTTTTGTCCTTTCCCGTATCCTGGCTTGTAGATTTTGCCCATGCTTTTCGAGTCCTGGAACTGCGTGTATGGATCTTCACACGGGTAATGCGGTGTGTCAGTTGTTGCGAAGGTATTCGAGGCGTATGTGAGCATGCTTCTGGCGTAGATGTCCCTTGAGGGTATTGTTCATATGCCGTAACTCCATAAATCTGCGACATCGTAGGTTGATTGATGTGAGCAAGCTTGCTCTGCGTCTCAGCCTCGTATTCTCTCATAGCTGCCTCATCGTTGGTACCTGCTTGCGGCCGTTGACTCATGCTGCCTTTGCAGGGTTCCAAGTCCTCAAGCTTGTGCTCGAAGTCATTATGTCTTGAAATAGCTGCATCTGCCCCACTGTTTGTTTTCCATATTGCATTAACAATACAATGTTGTTGTTGCTCAGCTTCACGACGACAGTATTATTTTGCAAATTCTTCGAGCTCCTCCTTGTCCTTCTGGACGGCCTCCACCTCCTGCATGTGATGAAATTCTCGTAGTTGGCTCTCATGTCCTTCTCTCGAAATATGCCTGAACATCGCTTCTGTCTGAGCCTGTATGGCACTTACCCTCTCTTGTTCGGCCAACCATCGATCATTAATTCCATTCTGCTGGGACATAATATTATTTTGCTGTTCATCTCCGACTTGTTGCATCAGCGCTGTTTCGGCTCGTACTCTTTGTTCGTATTGGCTATTAGTCTGGTAGTGTCTCTGATTGTTCACCTGCTGGTCGTGCATGATGCGAGCCTGCTCCTGCATCGCTTTTTGCATCTCCATTTGTGGTTGTGCTTGAGCTGTCACTATCTGTGTCAATGATGCCATCTGTGCCATTACTGTCGCAATTTCTGGTATCGTAGATGATGATGCACTGCCACTTGCCGTATTCAAATCGCCAGTTCTTTCCATTTGTGAATTTTCTCGTTGTGGAGGTCGCGGAGGATATGGTACTCTGTTCGCCGTCTTCTTTCTGGTATCGCATTCGTCTTCCCATCTCATTTCGTAGTCCTCGATATTCTCCTCGTTCGCCTGCCTCTCGAGTTCTTCCAGTAGTTCCACGATCTTCGCCGTTCTTTCCTTGAGCTCATTTCCTTGGTCCGTGATTCGACGCTTGTCGATCGCGAGCTCTTGAGCTGCGCATCTATTTTGTCCAGGTCGTTGTCCAGGATCCTCTTCTTCTTGAAACTCGGCCTCATCGCCAGAAGCTGGAACTTGATACTCCAATATCAATTCTTTGTGAATCATACAGCTCGTCAGCTCCCTTTGCAGCTCGGACCACGTTCAATATTTTGTTTTTTCTCATGTCAATACTCTTCGTATATATCTGCAACGATGACTTTCCTTCTGGTGGCCATGAGAAGTTTTCATAAGTCTGCGCATCCTCAATTCTGGCAATGGGTATGGCGTCGTAGATCTTCTGCAGCACATTGTCTCCGTCGTACTTCTGATAATCTTGTCCACCTCGTGGTCTGGATTGATGCCGCCCTCTCGCTGGCTTGGACCATGGTGCTTGACTCTTCCAATCGTTTTTGTCTTACTTCTTCGGCGTCGTCTGCATTTGCTGCCAGCGGGGAGCCATCTTCACTGAGTCGTCGTAGTCCTTGCCTCTGTCGCGATGAGGCTGCTGCTGCTGCTGATACTACTGCTGCGGCTGGTCTGAATGATGTGATTCCAGCAATCCGGCCGCCTGCGTCGCTCTGACCAGCAGTCTGGCCTGCGCCCGCGTTGAGCGTTGGCGCCTATGCCAGGCGGGCTCGCCTTGGCGCCTCGTCTGGCCTCTCAGCGCAGCAGCGGCTGCCCCCAGCGCCGCGGCCGCCGCCAGGCAGGGGCGGCGCGCTAAGCCCAGGCCGTGGGGGCAGCCCGCGGCACGACGGGGCGACGGCGGGCCCCAACCGCGCGCGGGCCCTCCCCTCCTCAGCCCGTGGCTTTCCTCCTCCTCCTCCTCCTCTTCCCCCTCCTTCTCCCTCTCCTCCTCCTCCTCCTCCTCCTCCTCCTCCTCCTCCTCCTCCTCCTCCTCCTCCTCCTCCTCCTCCACCTCCCTTCGGGGGGTCCGCTGCTCTCGTGCCACTGGCGGTGCGGTCGTGCCTCTTGGGGCCCCCGTGCGTCCTGCCCGGGCGTCGCCGGCCTCACCCCGGGGACCGCGCGGAGGCCCCGCGCAGCCCCCGGGCGCGAAGATGTGGGCAAGCATGACGGTCAGAGGCGACGACAGGACGGCATGGGCACAGGGGGGGAGGCATCGGCCCCAAATCGCCCATTGATCGCCGATAGGCGCCCGATAGCCGCAACCTGCCCAGGAAGGTGCGGATTCACTATCGGAGGCCTGCCGCCGATCTATCGGCGATGCATCGCCGATTCCAGGTCGATGCATCCCGACCCTATGCCAGTCCCCCCCCATCGTTGCCCCTCATACAGTGGGGGCCCATGCCAAGAAACACCCTGCTTGCCTCCAGGGTGCCGTGGGGTTTTTGGGTTTCGCTGGTCTTGCTCTGGGAAGCGTGACGTTCCCACACCAAAAATCGATGGACGTCCTGGGGTCTCCGCGTTTGGTTTCTTGTGGAAGGTTTCTTGCGATCGGGCCCCTGCTGCAAGTCGGGCTTCTACAAGAGGAATAGTCAAAAAGAGTCAAAACATAGTTTCGGGACGATGTTTCGATTATCATTTGACAAAGCTTGTGTATTGTTTGACATTTGTTTGTGCCAAAGCCCGCATGTAGGGGGACATGCCCGACCTCAGTCAAGCAGTGGCGAGGCGTTCCAGCTTGCCCAGAAGCCCGCCAAGGAGTGTTCTAAGAACTTTTGGTGGTTTGCGCGACATGTTCTGGGAACATGTCTGACCGAGACCGTCTCGTTTTGACGCATCGGCTTGCTGTTCGAAGAACCCCAGGGATGGAGTTTCTGAGGGTCCGCGCGGGGCCTGCGCTTCAACAGACCTTCTCAGAATGGAGCTTTCAGGATAAAGCTTCCGAGGACCAAGTTTCTGAACCAAGATTTTCCATGGGAGTGCTCCTGAGGCATAGCTGTCCGGCGGCGTTGTTGCGCGGCGGGTGCCGCGGGAAACAAATAGGCTGTTTCCGTCTAAGATTGGTGTAAGGCCGCCGAGCAAATATTTACTTACACCTTATTTGGGCTGGGGTTCTGAAGACCTCCGCGGGGCGGGCTACTGGGACGTCCTCTGGCCCTGCGACAAACTGGTAGTAGACCTTTTTTAGGAATGCCAGGGCGGTCGTGCCCGTCCCAACCAGGGGCAGCGTCAGGGGGGGGGGGGGCAACGGGCTCGGGGTGGTACGCATCGGCCCCCCGTCGGCCACCTCTTCGTGGATGGGGAGGGCGCGGCAGCCAGCCCCCGCCCAGGGCATTCGGAATTTTCTGCGGCATCGGAACGAGCGTTCCGACTCCCCCCCTGGACTCCCCGATTCCCCGACTCCCCGACCCCCCGACCCCCCGACTCCCCGACTCCCCGACTATTGGCCGATGGACAGTCGGAGGGTCCATTCTGGTACCTCCAACATGTTCCTACTCCAAAGGGGGGGCGCGCGGCTCCGCTATCGGGCGCATGTCAGCGATGCGTGGCCGATTCCAGGTCGATGTTGCCTTCCCATCCCCCCACGTTGGGCCAGTAGCCCCCCCCCTACCGTTGCCCCTCGGCCGCGGGCGCGCGCAGCTAGGCGTGGGCAGCTGCGGAAACCGCGGAGCGCACCAACATAGCTTTAAGTCGGGCCTGTCCCTCTACAGGAGGAAGTTTCAAACATAGTCAAACTGTAATACCCAGCCCTCCTGCGTTGGGTTCTCGTTTTGAATAGAGCACTGCTCGCGCGAACCTTCCTTCCCACCCCCTCCCGTCCCTCTCTTCCCCCCATGCCTTTGACCTCGCCATCCCTGGGGGGCTGCGATCTGCGAAACTGTCGCCACTTTCGAGGGCTGCTGGGGAGGCCAGCGGAGAGGGTACGCACTGCGGACCCAAACGGGACCTCGCCGTCCTTGGGGGGCTGCGATCTGCGAATCTGTCGCCACTTTCGAGGGCTGCTGGGGAGGCCAGCGGAGAGGGTACTCACCGCGGATCCAAACGGGACCTCGCCGTCCCTGGGGGGCTGCGATTTGTGAAACTGTCGCCATTTTCGAGGGCTGCTGGGGAGGCCAGCGGAGAGGGCACTCACCGCGGACCCAAACGGGACCTCGCCGTCCCTGGAGGGCTGCGATCTGCGAAATTGTCGCCACGTTCGAGGGCTGCTGGGGAGGCCAGCAGAGAGGGCACTCACCGCGGACCCAAACGGGACCTCGCCGTCCTTGGGGGGCTGCGATCTGCGAACGTGTCGCCACTTTCGATGGCTGCTGGGGAGGCCCGCGGAGAGGGTACTCACCGCGGACCCAAACGGGACCTCGCCGTCCTTGGGGGGCTGCGATCTGCGAAACTGTCGCCACTTACGAGGGCTGTTGAGGAGGCCAGCAGAGAGGGTACCCACCGCGGACCCAAACGAGACCTCGCCGTCCCTGGGGGGCTGCGATCTGCGAAATTGTCGCCACTTTCGAGGGCCGCTGGTGGGTCCTGCGGAGTGAGGCGCCGCGCGGACCTGAGCGGGACCTCGCCGTCCCTGGGGGGGTGCGATCTGCGAAACTGTCGCCATGTTCGATGGTTGCTGGTGGGTCATGCGGGGTGAGGCACCGCGCGGACCTGAGCGGGACCTCGCCGCCCCTAGGGGGCTGCGATCTGCGAAATTGTCGCCACTTTCGAGGGCTGCTAGTTGGGCTTGCAGAGTGAAGCACCCCGCGGACCTGAGCGGGACCTCGCCGTCCCTGGGGGGCTGCGATCTGCGAGACTGTCGCCATTTTCGAGGGCCGCTGGTGGGTCCTGCAGAGTGAGGCACCGCGCGGACATGAGCGGGACCTCGCCGTCCCTGGGGGGGGGCTACGATCTGCGAAATTGTCGCCACTTTCGATGGCCGCTGGTGGGTCCTGCAGAGTGAGGCACCGCGCGGACATGAGCGGGACCTCGCCGTCCTTGGGGGGCTGCGATCTGCGAAATTGTCGCCACTCTCCAGGGCTGCTGAGGGGCACAGCACAGTGGGTACTCACCGCAGGCTCAGATTAGACCTCGCCATCCCTGGGGGGCTGCGATCTGTGAACTTGTCGCCACTTTCGAGGGCTGCTGAGGGGCACAGCACAGTGGGTACTCACCGCAGACTCAGATTAGACCTTGCCATCCCTGGGGGGCTGCGATCTGTGAAACTGTCGCCACGTTCGAGGGCTGCTGAGGGGCACAGCACAGTGGGTACTCACCGCAGACTCAGATTAGACCTCGCCATCCTTGGGGGGCTGCGATCTGTGAAACTGTCGCCACTTTCGAGGGCTGCTGAGGGGCACAGCACAGTGGGTACTCACCGCAGACTCAGATTAGACCTTGCCATCCATGGGGGGCTGCGATCTGTGAAACTGTCGCCATTGTCGAGGGCTGCTGATGGGGCACAGCACAGTGGGTACCCACCGCAGACTCAGATTAGACCTCGCCATCCTTGGGGGGCTGCGATCTGTGAAACTGTCGCCATTTTCGAGGGCTGCTGAGGGGCACAGCACAGTGGGTACTCACCGCAGACTCAGATTAGACCTTGCCATCCCTGGGGGGCTGCGATCTGTGTGCCATCCCTGGGGGGCTGCGATCTGTGAAACTGTCGCCACTTTCGAGGGCTGCTGAGGGGCACAGCACAGTGGGTACTCACCGCAGACTCAAATTAGACCTCGCCATCCCTGGGGGGCTGCGATCTGTGAATTTGTCGCCACTTTCGAGGGCTGCTGATGGGGCACAGCACAGTGGGCTTCCCGCACGTCTTTCTCCTGCTCTTCGTTCCCGACTCCCCATGTCCTCTTCGATTCTGTAGTTGCCGCCCCTCGTTCTTGTATGGTTCTCCTGCGCATCATGCCATAGGCGCGTGTCCCCAGTAGCTTACATATCAAACAACGGATCCTGCAATTTGATTGTCCATGCAAGTTTCGGCCAACTCCTCGTTTCCCATGATACAAATGGGTTGGGTACGTCACAGGGTAATTGATGCTTTGGGGGGTATCTTTTGATTATTCTGATTTGCTTCAAAATCCGCCTGTAGGGGGACATGCCCGACCTAAGAAGAACTCGAAGTTTTGCAGGAGATGCAGATCTCGCCGGTACCGATGCCTTTTGCCTCAGTGTTGCCCTTTTTGCGGTTCGTGGGGCACCCTCGTCACCACGGCTGTATTCGATTCGGAATCCCAGTCAGAGATCACCCCAGGAGAATTCAGATGAGTAATGGTACCAGTATATGTTTGTTATTGTTGTGCATGTATACAGATATAGGCATATATAATATGTAGACATCGTGTTTCGGCCCATCCCGCCACCGTGCTTGTGTTGTGGGTTAGAGGCCTCTTGGATGTTGGTTTGGATATCGTGGGAGGCCTCTGCAGTTTGGCGGCCTCTTGGGGCCGTTCGGGGGCCTCTTGGGGCTGTTTGGGGGCCTCTTGGCTCTTCTTGGGCCTCTTGGGGGCCTAGGGGCCTCTTGGGCTCTCTGCGGGGCCTCCTCGGGGCTTCCTCGGGGCCTCTTGTGGCGGCAGGCTCGACGTGTGGGTTCATGTTCCCCTTCCTTGCCCCCTCTTGGGGCCGTCTTGGGGCCTTCTTAGGCGATCTTGGGCGCCTCTTGGGCCGTTTTGGGACCCTCTTGGACGGTTTTGGGGCCCTCTTGAGGGCCTCTTGGGGCGGTCTTGGGGGCCTCTGGGGCGGGGCCAGTCTTGAGTGGCGGAAGCCCGAGGCCGCGAGAACGCGAAAAACACAAGGACATTGAAGCCTCTTTGGGCTCTCTTGGGGGTCCTCTTTTTCTCCGGGGCCTCTTGAACCGTCTTGGGGCGGTCTTGGACGTCTTGGAGCGCTCTTGGGCTGTCTTGGAGGCCTCTTGGACCCTCTTCGGCGCTTTCTGGGGCCCTCTTGGCCCGTCTTGGAGCCCTCTGGCCTTTGAAACAAGTCATGCGAGGCAGCCCAAGAACGCGCGGGAACGCGCGGGAAAGTTGAGACTTGGGGGCCCCAGCCTTTCTAATACTAGAATACCAGAGTTCCGCGTACAGAGAGCAGAGGACACACGAGGACATGGAGAAGTCGCCACTTCGTTCCTCGCTGCACTGTGTCGGATATATGTGTGCGTACAAAAACATGTATACATCTTTATATATACACATCGTCGCCGCAACATGACGACCTTCGTTCCAGGCCGCCCACACGTGGTGTTCTGGCGAATGCGAGTTGGTCGTGAGGATGAAGGGCGGCGAGCAGTAGGCAGTAGCAACTCATAGGAAACGCGCACGTCCTCGCAATTCAGTTGTTTGAGTGCACTCGCGTGTTTTGGCACTTGGACATCGATGAGAGAGCGTCGAGTAGCGCCGACTTAGCGTCGGTTCGCGTCGATTCGCAAGAGCCAGCACATTGGCATTGGAGGCTCCCATGAGTTGCCACAGAAGGCAGCAGATGAAGGTGGGACGGGAGGGGAAGGATTAGGAGGCGGGGCAGGAGGGTCGGAGGAGGGCAACCGCACGGACCCGCCTCGCTCTCTCCTCCTCTCCCGCCCAAGTTTGGCGAGGAGGAGGGATGAGGCAGAGGAGGATGAGAAAAGAGTAGGGACGAAGAGAGCGAGGGGGATGAGGACGACGCGGAGCGCTGCGGGAGCCAAGAACGGCTTTGGCGCCCTCTACGCTGGGGCGACCGCCGACGTTTTAACCTTTTGCAGGCTGGAGTGGTGATCTTTCTCCGCTCCAGGCCGGTGTTCTCCACCCGCACCACTTTGGATGTACTGCTTGTTTTCTCTCCGCCATCCCCTCAACTCTCCTCATCTCCCCCAGCTTCCCGTCATTCCTCCCTCCCTGCCTCGCTCCTTCTTGCCCTCTCGCCCGGGGCATTCCTCTGTCCACAGGCGGGGCAACGGGGTATATTGGTCCACGGTACCCCGCCCCTGCCCTGCTGCCCGCACGCGCGATGAGTCCGCTTGCGCTCCTGCGCACATCCGCCGCGAGCGCTGTGAGGGGGGGGGGGCTGGGTGTCGAGCCGTGCCAGGGGGGCGGTCACCACTTTGAACTGGAGATCCAGGGTCGAGGAGGCGGGGTGTTGGACGCTTCTGGTCGTCTCTGGGTGTTGGACGCTTCTGGTCGTCTCTGGGTGTTCGGGGGGACCAGGGTGGCCCGTTGTCCGGA